TGAACAATGATTAGGTAGGAGCTGCTCCAGACTGCTTTTGTAGATAATAAATTTTGTGTCACCAGCTAAATCGGTTATATCTCTAGGCTTTACCTCATCTTCCTTATTGTCGTCCTCAAACGGCAGGCTCCACTCTGTGTCTGAATCATCCATTTCAGACTCCAGCTCGGAATCGGTCCACGTGTCATCCAGCTCTGTGTCTTCGGGGACACATGACTTGCTGGAACAATCGTCAACCTGTATTCCGATTTCCCTTGTCGTAGGCGACGCCTGTACGCTGATACTCTAATGTCCCTGTTGATTATATTCAGCAGATCAGATAGGATTAATTAATATTCATACAGATTAATCTTGTCATGATTTCCTATTGCCTCAGACTTCAAATATCATTGCTTAAATTGAATCTAGACACTTAACTACACACACAGGTATATATATCCATGTATTTTATAGAATTATTTATAACAAAATTTTTTAAAAAACCTACGCTAGATGTTTGTGAAGTTTGGGTGAATGCATGATATTTAAGCTTGTCATCAGGATCTTGAAGAAGTTCCTCAGACACTTGAGGAAATCTTATAAAAAAAAAAAAAAGATTTATTTCTGCAAGAAAAACATAAAACATAAACATGTATATGACAAAAATGTGCTAGAGACAAGACCCTATCCCTCCCATAATTTACACTTTTATCCCCCTCCGGCCCCGAAAACATTTATTTTAATCAAACCCACAGCATTCTACTCTATTTTGTGATATTATCTTTTATAAATGTTCAATCTGAAGTTTAAAATGATCACATGACAAATTAAAAACAAATTCGCTGAAACACTAGGCCTAGCGTATCTCGGGGAGAGGTGGGGGGAGCGGGGTCAATATACCTTTTGGTATGGAGTCGTCGCTGGGCTATGTAAGTAGCTGAGTGTCGCATGGCTCTTCTTGTTGCGATTTATTAAGTGCCCCAAAAGTCTAAAATTTATAAATCTTTATTCATTTCATTTTTGTTTTATTATTTATTTCAAAGTGCGGATTTTGAAAATCTTACAGAAGGTGATTACTTCAAAAAATCCCTCTCTCTCTCTCTCTCTCTCTCTCTCTCTCTCTCTCTCTCTCTTGAATAAATTTTGATATTTATAAATTATAAAATATAATCGTACATGAACTATAATAATATTTTTTTACTTATTTATAGTACTGTCTTTATTTGATATGTGTATAATTATATATAATAAATATATTGATTTATTCAAATTTCACATTTCTGATGTTTCATACAATGGCTTACTTCCAGTGCCCTTCGCTTGAAATAAGCTGTGGAGTTTCTTCTTTGTCTCAGACTTGGGGAAATCAAAAATCGTTGGTACTGCGTTTGGCTTAAGATCAATTTTCTTGTATCCACATTTTTTGGCTACAGATTGATGTATTGAAAACTGGTCATCTGTGAAATGTTTCGCGCATAACCTTGAGGTGTCCGAGACTATAAATCCATCTCGTCGAAGATTCTGCACCCTAATTCTTCTGTATTTTGTATCCTTTGGAAAAAGGAATATTGCTACTCCCTTCTGTGACCGAATATTGCAGTTAAATGCAGCGCACTGTGGCATTTTTCAAAGATATGTAGAAAAACAACACTATGTTCCATAGACACACTAACTATTGTTTACATACAAGTGGGTCTTATTGACGTCATCAGCTAAGGGAGATAAGCGGCGATCATTGAGAATACTTTTTGTGATCAAGTAATTTTGATCACCTCTACCGTAGTGAATGTGCATTAAATTATTCTTAGAGAATTAAAATTATTTTTATTTAACATTGAGTAACGTATTCCCTTATATAACTCAACGTGTTCCAATTATTGTTTCGTATGACCTTTAAACTCTAAGAAATATATACGATGGAAATTCATCGCAGCTCAATGCCTGTATCCATTATCACGGAGTGAGTTATTCTTGTTCTTGGAAAAAGTGTGCTTAAATTGTTCCGCCTGACTTACAACTGTACATTGGATTGTTACGATTTGATATCTCTTTAGTGTTTCTTATATCAAGAATGGGCATGCACTAAGGATAGATAATTGAAAGAAAATGCACAAGTCTATAAAAAAAAAATGAAATAGTCTTTGTACAGGCGAAAAATGAAAACTTTAAAAGCGTGCTACCAGGTGGATTCGAATCCCCGACTTTAAAAAGAATGTATCGATAGTGTAATTGTCAGCACATATATCAACTGACGTAGACTGACTATAAAATAAGATGGCATAAATTTTAAGCAGATTATCAAAATCGGGTTTCCTTATTTTTTTGTTTTTTTTTTGTGAATTTCGACCCTAGGGCAGGCGTGCCCCTAAAAAAATCCTATCTTAAATTATTTTTGACATCTTAACCTATCAAAACATCACAGTTTTATTTAGGGGCATATGCCTGCCCTGAAGGACTTCTAGGCCAAAATACATGCAAAAATCAACGCTTTAACGGACCAAATGGTGTTCTGGCCAACTTTGGAGGTTTTTTGCAAAGTAGATAATAAGTATTAGGTACAAAATACAAATTGAAAAAAATTAGACATATATTCGGTAGAAAACAACAAATAAAGATTAACTATTTAATTGTCACTTTTTCAGGAAATTGCTCTCTCCTATAGGTCAATTCTTTTGTCAAAGTGATGCATGCTTTATTGTGAAAAAAACAGTGATTTTCAAATGACATTTAACCAACCAATATTTTATTCAACAACAAAAAAAATATGCACATAATAAAGACAAATACATTAATTGCTTTATGCTTCTTAATTAAACATAGCTACATCTTAACGATGAACCCATTCGAGTTTAAATGTGCTTTTGTTTTTTGGATCCCTCTCTATATATTTTTCTTACAATACTGTTTGAAACTAATCGAAAAATTACCAGCATGCTCATAGAAGAAAACATGAAATATAATCTCTCAAGGAATCCGTTCTCAGGGGTAAAATCAGCTGTTAGACTTTTATTATTGATTTAATTTATAGACTATTATTTTAATTTGTATAATTCGGTTTTACGTAAAATTGTTGTATACCAATTAACTATTTCATTTTGGAAATAATGTATGAACACGAATATGAAAAAAACATGCCCTTGATGTGACGGTAGGTACTTGTATCCCAAATGAACCTTCACTTCAAATAGTTGAACTGTTTTAAGAGGAAATAGAAGATTTCATAATTTTAAGCAAAGCCGGTAATGGAAGTAAGTGTATGTCACTGTATGATTTGTCGCCCTTAAAAATTATAATAACATAACTTTTTTTTTTAAATTCACAGTTAAGCTATAAATATATTTTCAGTATGTACATGTATATGTTGTGCAATTTTTATAGGAATGACATTTTATCGATGCACAAAAAAATTATCAAGAGTAAAGAACTGCAATGCAAAGTAATTACACTGTAATTATAATTCTATCATTTTGTAAATTACAAAAATAAAACTCATTTATATGAGAAATTACATTTCAAAATCAATGCAAGTGACATTTGAAATCAATATATTACGTAGGAAAGAATTCCGAACCATGCTTGGACCGCTCTGAACAGTGATGGGTTTCATTCATCGTTTTTTTAAATATATTTTGATGAAGATCATGATTCTTCAGGGTATATATTGTAGAAGGACTATCTACATCTGATTTCTATTATTCCCTTCGTAGAAATCTTTACCGAAAAGAAATTACCACTGCACGATACAGGACAATGCCTTCGCCAGCTTATACAATTTTCGTGAACTGTAAATATGTATAGTATTTATTGTAACAGAAACCGTTATACATGTATATGTTCACTAAACGTCTATTACATTATCTGCTATTGAATCATTTTCTACAAATATTTAACCTTTGCTTTCATACAGTTTTAGTTGAAGTTAGATTTGGTTTCAATTTTAGATCAAAATTCGAAGATTTCAAATAACATTCAATCAAATAAAATTTTATTCAACAACACAAAATATGCACACGCTTTAGACAAATACATATGGTGCTTAATACGTTTTAAATTAACATAGCTGCCGGTACATCTTTATGATGAACCCATTCGAGTTTAAATGTGCTTGTGTCTGTTGAATTCCTCTATGTCTTTTACCATAATGCTTGAAACTGATTGGAGATTTACCAGTAGGTTCATGAACTAATATCTCAAATTTAATCTCTCCTGAAATCTGTTGTAAGATTTAACATCAGCTGTAATACTTTAAATCATGATTTTGTTCAAGTTTTTTTTATTTGTTTAATTTGTTTTTCACTTAGTTTTTTGGTATCGATCTACCATTTCTCCTTTGAAAATAATGTATGAACCACAAATATGAAACGCATGCCATTGATTTACAACCTGTGACGATATATACATTTATTGTACGGCAACCTTTACTTCAAATAATTGAACTGAAATTATGTTTTAAAATAAATAGTAAAATTCACAAATTTGAGCATAAGACGGCAATGGAGGTACCTGTATGCCTTTTATCATAAGTCGTCCCTTAATTATATATTAAAAAAATAACTTTGTTTTAAATTTGCAGTTTAGCTATGCATATCTTTTTCAGTATATACTTGTACATGTTGTTAAACGTTAATATGAGTCACATATTTTTGCATGCACAAAAAGTTATCAAGAATATTAAACTGCAATGCAGAGTATTTATACTGTTTTTATATTTCCAACATTTTAGCAATTAAATAAAAAATAGAACTCGTTTATTTGTGAAATTTAATTTCAAAATCAATGTGAGTGACAAAAGTAATCGATATTACGTATAAAAAGTATTCTAATCGATGTTTGCAGCCCTCTGAACAATTGAGGGTTTGAATTATCACATTTTTTCATATAAATTTTGATGAAGATCAAGATTCTTAAGGGGTATGTGTTGTAAAAGGACTATCTACACTATATTTCTTTATTCTCTTCTTAGATTTCTTTCCAACAACGAAATCACCATGATACAGGACAATGTCTTCGCCAGCTTATACAATTTACGTGAACTGTAAGTATGTATAGTATTTATCGTAACAGAAACCGTTATATATGTTCACTAAACGTCGATAACATTATCTGCTATTGAATCATTTTCTACAAATATTTAACTTTTGCTTTCATACAGTTTTAGTTGAAGTTAGATTTGGTTTCAATTTTAGATCAAAATGAGAGATTTCAAATAACATTCAATCAAATAAAATTTTATTCAACAACACAAAATATGCACACGCTTTAGACAAATACATATGGTGCTTAATACTTTTTAGTTTAACATAGCTGCCGGTACATCTTTATGATGAACCCATTCGAGTTTAAATGTGCTTGTGTCTGTTGAATTCCTCTATGTCTTTTACCATAATGCTTGAAACTGATTGAAGAATTACCAGTAGGTTCATGAATTTATATCTCAAATTTAATCTCTCCTGAAATCTGTTGTAAGAATTAACACCAGCTGTAATACTTTAAATCGTGTTTTTGTTCAAGTTTTTTTTTTATTTGTTTAATTTGTTTTTCACATAGATTTTTTTATAGATCTACCATTTCTCCTTTGTAAATAATGTATGAACCACAAATATGAAACGCATGCCATTGATTTACAATCTTTGACGATATATACATTTATTGTACGGCAACCTTTACTTCAAATAATTGAACTGAAATTATGTTTTAAAATAAATAGTAAAATTCACAAACTTGGGCATAAGACGGTAATGGAGGTAACTGTATGCCTTTTATCATAAGTCGCCCCTTATTTATATATTAAAAAAATACTGTAAACGTATTACATTTGGCTGTGTATTCTTTTTAGCGCCTTTCGCAGAAAGCAGCCTCCGCTAAATCAAGTACATCGCTAAATGCTTTATGTAAAAAGGTTTAAGTAAAGCATATTCAAAAAGCGCTAAATCATATCTACGCCAACTTGTTGAGAATTCAATTTCCGCTAAATATCGTACACGCTAAATATAATACATTTACAGTAATTTTTTTTTAAATTCGCAGTTTAGCTATGCATATGTTTTTCAGTATATACTTGTGCATGTTGTTAACAGTTATTATGAGTCACATACGAGGGTTGTTCGAAAATTATTGAGACATTGTGTATATTTTGCTTTCTAATGAACGTCTTTCAGTGAAAATCGGCATATACGTTTGACATACACTAAAAATTAATAAGAGCAAGAAATATTTTACAAATATTAAGGTCTTCAATCCCTAATAGGAAGAAATTCAATGAAATTGAAAACATAAAAGATATGTAGGCATTCAATACTCAGTTTATTTAGACATAGTTCCCATTTATTACTATAAGTATGTTTAGTGGGATGTGTCCTAATTCATGACCTTGAATTTTGGTAAGAGTTATCTCCCCTTTTTTAATTAATAAAAAAATCAATTAAAAAAAATGTAGCTCGTAAAAAAATTGTTTTCAATTATCATTCTATTTTTAATATTTCAATGCATCTATCCACCACAGGATTTATTGATATTCAAATTATTTGAATTTTTATTTTGAAAAAAACGATTTTCCCCATAGACTTCAATGCAATCTTTGTTAATTAACTACTCCTTAATTAATGAACTTTTTGAAAATTTCTCGTGGGCAATCCTTTTCCACTATAAAATGCTTTAATATAATATCAGAGTATTGTGTACTTGACGGACATTTAAGGGTGGAGAATTTGGTCCCATTAGGGATTGAAATCCTTAAATATTTTCTCGACAATGGTATATAAATGTGTCAATAGAAGGGGTACCCGGAGCAGTCGCGGAATCAGACATTGAAAATATATAACCCCAAAATTCTAACTCTTCGTGGATCAATAATGAGAGCGAAAATAATTCAGTTTAAGTGTATAATTTTTCAGTTTTGGTTCAAATTCATGTTGTGCAGCTTTGATAGAATTTTGATCAGAAATGTTCAGAAATACGGAGATCATAAAAAAAATTAAGAGCTGTAGAAAAATCTGCTAACAACAAAAAAATGGATTTTGACGTCAAGGGCTGAGCAGCCAGCATACCTAAATTTTTGTGTAGCGCAATGCAGAACCTTTTTCAAGACTGAGCGACCTGCTAAATCAATAACAACGAGAAAAAATGATGTGTTAGGGTTTGTTCTTTCCTTGGTATACATTTTCATTAGCAATTAATTAAACAAGAGTGAAATTAAAAGATCTGGACGACCATGAGTTATTTCATACAGTATTGATATCGTTACCGTATTTAACCCGCGTTGCATAAATTGGCACCGCATGATTCTAAGTCGTCCTTTCCCATGAATGAAAATTTTTGACTGGGGTAGCAACATCATACATTTTTAAAGAATAGTTGTAAAAAAGAGACTGTTTGATTTTTGTAATGTTATATATGTAATAACAAAGAAGGAAGAGTATTAAACGCTTCCCGATCGTTTCACATGGGAAACAATCTACGGCTAACGTAACGTTAAATGACGTAGCGAGTCTGCTACGGGTCGAACGACATATGCATATTTATTACTTCACAGAAACTTATATAATTATCGTAGGACTTAGAAAATTTGCTTAAGTGTTTTAAACGTTCTTTATAAGATGTTGATGAATTTTCATGAAATTATCTCCGTCCTTTATAGAGTAAATGTAATTGTCTCAAAAATTTCCGAACAGCCCTCGTATTTAAGCATGCACAAAAAGTTATCAAGAATATTAAACTGCAATGCAGAGTATTTATACTGTATTTGTATTCCCAACATTTTAGCAATTAAATAAAAAATAGAACTCGTTTTTTTGAGAAATTTCATTTCAAAATCAATGTGAGTGACAAAAGTAATCGATATAACGTATAAAAAGTATTCCAATCGATGCTTGCAGCGTTCTGAACAATTGAAGGTTTTATTTATCACATTTTTTCATATAAATTTTGATGAAGATCAAGATTCTTAAAGGGTATGTGTTGTAAAAGGACTATCTACACTGTATTTCTTTATTCTCTTCTTAGATCTCTTTCCTTAAACAATATCACCACGATACAGGACAATGCCTTCGCCAGCTTATACAATTTACGTGAACTGTAAGTATGTATAGTACTTATCGTAACAGAAACTGATATATACAGTGCAGGGAAATAATTTTGTTACAGCATCAATGCTGATTTTGGTGCTTCCTATGCTTGCTGATTTTGATGCTTCCTTTGCTTGCTGATTTTGATGCTAGTTATCCTTATCCTGATCCTGGTTTGATCCTTATCCTGATGCTGGTTTGAAACTAGGTCAATGCTAGTAATGCTACTGGAAGTAGGATTATCCTGCCGGAAGTGGATAATTCAAAAAACAGCATCGCTATTTTAAGCCATTAAAAATAATTTTTGGGGTAATTTTTATTTGTAATTTGTATTAAATGACTTTCCTTTATCTGTTTTCAGTTTTTACCGAAAAAAATAGCGATTTTTAACGAATTTCGTTTTGTCGTATTGCAATCGTAAAAAAAACAAAATGGCGACATAGTGGAAGTTGGAAGTAAATCTTCATCTTGCGAAGTTATTGTTACATAGTTATTCGATATTGATTGCAGCTAAAATGCGATGTTTTATCCTTTTTGTGATGCAGTTTCAGTAGGTGGAATAGACCTAATGTGTGCAACGTGTAAGCATGGAAACGTGATGGTCAATGAACATGATGAAGTTTATGTCAAATCCAGATGAAAATTTATTGCGTGTCCTGTGAATATTTTAGCGAAAATATTATGCTTTAGCCTAAATGGAATTTTAAGTCGTAATCCAAGGAACCAATAGACCATCAGTACAGTCACTACAATAACCACTCAGAGGGTATGTAAACAATGCTTTTTTTTAAAAAATAAGATTATATGAAAATAGTAAAGATTATGTGAAACAGATGTAGTGTAACAAAAAATTAAAAACTCAAAATTCTGAGCGATTAAGGCATTTCAACATGTTAAACCCATGTGATTTTAAACAGGTCAATTTTTACAATTGAATAAAAAATAAATGAATTTTTTTTTAAATTTAGAATCTGCAGATGCAGTATTCTGTAGTTAATCTACAAAGTATCAAGTCAAATTATACATAACCCATTGTTGCAACCACGGCCAAAATGTACAACCTTTTCCCATTCTGACCGTGGTCAAATGAGAAAGAATATTTTGTAGCTCGATCATTAGTATTTTGTGGAGCTCTCATTAAAATATTGACCATTTGCAAATAAATTAAGATATTTTACTTTGATCATGATACCTAGTTAGAATGATCTTACTGTGTCTCGATACAGGCCCTCACCACAGTTAGAATACGTCCCATATACTTGCAACGTAGCAGATCAGAGCGGATCTGCTCCGAAATGATTTTGAAGAATATAAAAAGATTTGCATTGGGAATAACTACCAAAATAATCAAAACAAACCTTCTTGAGATTGCTTATGCCTTTTATCCCCAAAAAATAATCCATATAAATATGAAAATCCAATTAATTTTCTCAATGTTTTTCTCTCGATTCAAATTTATTACCTGCCATGTTTACATACATTCAGAACTCTCTAGATTGTTCCTAGTAAATGCACTATGCAAGTTATCGCACGTGTTCCTTTCTGCTACATTACGAATACACGGAACAAATTCTATCATTAAACCGGGTCTGACTCTGTAGGACAATATTTTAACGATAGAACATTCTATTTACATGATACCCAGCCGCAGTGTAAGAAACACTGTTGAATGAATGTAAATTGATCATTTCAATTGGGATGGAAAGAAACCCATGGATGTTCACTTACAATGTCATATGACGTCACAATCAAGATTGAGGCATCAAGATAAAGATTAGGAAATTTTTTGATCAAGCGGCCAAGAGCAGGAGAGCTTCATGCTTACAATAATGTGGTAATGTACATATTTAACCTGACCGACTGATAACCAAGTCCACTCAAACGTAGTACAGTGTACATATATTTCAACTTTTGAACCAATCTAGAAGTCGATAAACAATACATGTAGTATGCATAGTTATGGATTTTATCCTTGCAGTCTTAGTTAGGCTGTTCCCTAAGTACTGTCCTGTGTCTGGTTTACGAGTAGAATCTAGATTGTACTTAAGGCTTTAAACAGATATATAATATTTTCAGAAGGCAGATATGTATCTATCCTTATATTTCAACGGAGCTACGATACAATGTCAATATGTATCAAATATTTGAATTGGTCATATTGATCAGGAAGTCTTTTTTTGTATTGAACAAGATGTGTTTGTAAAACACTGTGCGGCCAGCGGTAACACAGTTAAAAAAAACTGGCATATAGGTCACAGTCCAGGTCATAAGGTCATTGATCTCAATGTCATTTGAAAGAACTTTATTAGTGGAATATGCAGACCGAATATGAAGTCTCCATCTCCTATGATTCAAAAGTTATGGTAAAAGTTCGAAAGAACTATTTTAAGCATGCAGGTCACAGTCAAGGTCACAAGGTCATTGAAGTTGGTGTCTTTTTAAGTTGAGTACGCCTGCCAAATATCAAGTCTTTGCCTCTCAGAGTTAAAAAATTATGGCAAATGTTCCAATTGACAATAGACAGACAGATAAACAGCTGAACAGATAAACAGACAGGACATAAACAATATACGCCTCAGATCTATCGATCCGAAGGCATAAAAATTTTAAGAACAAACCATTTCTTCACAATTATTTATGAATAATTTTCATTTGATTTAAAAGAATAAGCTGTATACATGGTATATCCGCTGTAAAACAAAATTATTTTATATGTGGTGAGAATTATTACTGGTATGTATTTTTATATAAAAATTTTGACTTTAAAATATGTTTATCGTATATAATTAACACAAAATATAAGTATAAACAAAAAAATGCCTTATTTTTTTTGCCATATTTAAATATTTTTACATACATATTGATCGATATACATGTACTTAATCCTCACACAGAATCTTTATTATTATAATCGATTAATCATTTCAGCCTCAATGGCTCCTTTTAAATTTTACTGGAGTTAAAACAGAAAAGATGAGTGTTTGAAACTGTGATCATTACTTTGATATTAAATAGCCAAATTATGTTCAATTTGTAAAGTTATACTTATTGTCATTGTGCCCCTATTTCATAGGAGAAGTACTTTAGAGTTTTAGTAGTCAGTGACAATTTATTTTCTTTTACCTGGAAAAAAAATAATAAAATAAATTGCTCTAAATGTGTAAAATTCTAAAATAATTTCCTCCTAAGCTTGTAATTTGTATATTTGTGTGATGTACACATTACTCACTGTATAAAGTTAACAACTGTAGTTAAAACTGTATTTATAGCATTGTTTTTTAATATTTGGCATTTTTTGAAATTAACCTAATTAATGTTTCATATTTTTCAGGCCCATGACAGAGTAAGCAAAGCAGAAATTCCTTCAGGATTAAAGTATGCTGGTCTTCTCTTTGGACCTAAATCCAGCTGATGAAATTCTGTTTGTTAAAATAGTGAAAATTCAAGCCAGGAACTTCTGTTAATCAGACAGTGGCATTAAAACCTATGTGATGATGTGCGCCAAATCCATTGTTGACATACATATATACATTTTAAAGTTATCTCCCACTTAGATCTAAAATGAAATGGACAGAATTTAAAGTTTAAAGTGGATTTCAAGTGATTTGTGTATTGTTCATATTAATTAGATATGAGATGTATGTAAATAGCAATGCATCCCTGCTCTTTTGTACAATCTTACAACTGTTCATGATAATTTTCCATATATAAATTGATTTTATAGAATAAATGAAAACATATATTTTACAATAGTGTGATGTTTGTTTTAAGTATAATGTACTAATTGAGAGATACTGTATACATGGAAATTTTCACCCTTGTTTTATTTTCGTCCCTTTTGCCCTATCCTTGATTGGGCGAATTTAAAACTGGGCAAATTCAAATTTCTTAAAAAGAAGATATATGACTTGGGCAAATTTAAAACGGGGGAAAATTGTTTACAAGTTCAAAAGGGCAAAAACAATACGGGGCGAAAATACTGCCCCTGATATATTTTATTTTTGAGGACACCAACATTCTATGTAAATAGGCAATATTTCTGTTACATGTAGTGTTCTTATTGAAGCTGAATGAAGCATATAAAATTCTTAATTGCATTTTCATGAATACTCTAAAAATAGATTTTTTAGATCACTTGAAAAAGAATATCAAACACTTATAGATGACTGGTAAAATTTTCACTGATGTGCCAAGATTAATGAATTGTAATGACAAAAATAGTAATACCGGTGTGTCCTGATTCATTTAATTTAACTCATTAAAAACTTTAATTGGAAAATTCCATATTTATAAATCTGCAATAAGAGACTGAATGTGGGGGGTAACACATTGTTACGTAGGGTATTTTAGACTGAAGTAAATCATTTAAATACACAGAAAAATAAGCTTGTAGTATTTTAAATGCCTTGGAAACACACTTTTTGACATTCTAAAATTATGTTCACTATCCATAGGATTTTAAAACCAGCACAGGGAATGAAAATGACTCCATCATCAGCATGAATTCATTAGGCCGAAATAAAAAATACTCTTGTTTCCTGTGACCCGTCCTACCCTACATTTTACCCTCTGACCCAAAAAGTTTTTATTGCATTTTCATTTTTTGGGTTACTATTTTCCTAAAGTACTAAAGTTGACCAACAACATTAACAGAACTAATACATCATAAGTGTACAGGATACCTTTACTTAATAAATCTTTATTAACGAACTTTCTTGTTATTACATATTATATGTTCTGGCAGTTCTGCATTCATTGAGTTTTGAAAATAAAATTTTTTCCCAGAATAAATTTGTTTCCCTAACCTACCAACCCTAATTTTTTTGGTCAGGGGACAGGAAACAAGAGTATATTTTCTTTTGGCCTTAAAGCGTGTTCGTTATAACCATGTTTTACTGTGTAGATATTTCTTCCCTTATATCATGATACTAGACATGCAGTGTAATAAATACATTTTCCTAATTGTTTAAGTCTGTAGTTTAAATCATCCAATATTTACATATGCTCTAG